CCACAAAGTCGTCTGTGGAAACCACAATGGTTTTCCTCTCCTTGATGTACTTCAAGCGACTCAAAACTCTATCTGCAGGGATGAATCTGTAACTGAAATCGGGCCAATCAGAATTGTTACCTTTGTTCAGGTAAAATGAGTTGCAAGGTATTTTGGGTTTGTTTTTGTTTTCCCCCTCCGGTAACTTTTTTTTTTAACCCCAAAATTGTAGCCTGAATGTTTGCTTTCAGTCTGGCCAGGGATCCAACTCCCAAGCTGGTTGCCTCCTCTGCTCACTCCAGTCACATGGAGAATTGGTGTTTCCCGCAGTGGGGCGCGGCTGTCGGCCAGGTGGCCGGGGGGAAAGGTGGGTAGGGAGGACAGACTGTCATTTGTGGTTATAAGCACAGGTGATTAAAATGCTAAATATTGCGAATTTCGGCTTTGTCAGTATATGGTAAAGTTTAAGGGAGAATACTGGAATGTTTTTTTCAAAGGGTAAAAAATAACTGAGTCCTTTGATAATTTGGCCCCACAGGCTCGCTGGCCCTTGAGCATGTGACCTTGCAGTCTGAGGCCCAGGACCCACCCCCCTGCCACCCTCCCGCCCCACTCCCTGCTCAGTACCTGGCATTGGCACACAGGCAAGGATTGGCACAACCAGAATTGGCTTTTTCTTCTTAATACTGAAGAAATTCCCACATTTCTCATTTGGTATTGGTGTTGTGGCCTCAGATTTCTTCTAGTATTTGCTTCTGATGAATAATTATGTTCTATACATAAAAAAGTAAGATTAAGTATTGCTGAATTTGCAGTTACGTTGTTGTGTAAAAGAGCTTCCAAGTGTGGTTACAAATGAACCCATGGAATGATGACTTCACGTTCTTCTCGTGGGTTTGTGCTGTGCTGCTTTCCAAGTATGTATTGAATTTATGCATTAGTCTGGTGATTTCAGTTCTGTGAAATATTTTGGGATCTATACCAATTAAACATTTTCATAGTTCTGCCCATCGTCCTTCCCTGAGGATCCACTGCTGCTTGGTGGCCATTCTCTGCCTTTTTATAGTCACCTGAACAACCCATCATCTCTTGCTTGCTTGAAATCTTGCTAAAAATGTCCTCATTTCCTGTTTGCTGTATGGGCTTCGGTGGGATGTTTGTTGGCTCTGTTGTGTTTATTCACCAATTTGTACACATTTGTTGTCCTTTACTACTGTAAACAGTAAATATAGTTTGGTATTCTGTCTCTTGGCTTCTACTAAACACTGCATTTGAAGGTTGGGTCGTACTGGTACAATTCAGTGTTTGAATTGATCATTCCACGTGGCCACTGCACTGAGAAACTCTGATTGAAAACCTGGCCGCTGGAAGGTTGGTATTCACCCGGCAGCTCACGTTCCCTCCCCTGGCACACCACCAATGCTGGTCCAGCTTTTCCTGCCGAGGGACATATCCTCTCCTCAGAGACCTCCTGGCTGACAGCTGTCTGAGCTAGCATCACCGTGACATGTTACCCTTCCTCTCCTGGGTCTCACAGGTAAAGCAAGGGTGGATTTTAGAGGCAGATGAGTTCGGGTGTTAGTCTAGGACGTCTCTTGTTTTCTGTTTTCCTTCTGCCATGGACAATTTACCTATCTGCTCTGAAAGCGAACAAACATTGATTTGGCGTTAAGAATTTTCTAGTATCCAATGGTGTAACGAAACCCGGGTTGAAAATGACCTGTTTTAGCCCATCAGTTCAATGAACCCAAGGTGAAGATGAAAGGCAGCTGTGGAGATGGACCACACAGTTCACGTGCACTAGGAAGAGTGCACGTATTAAGGCACAATACACAGATGTGGACATCTGCCCTATCCGCTAGTCTGGGTCAAAGGGGATGCCAGAATCCATGCGGAAAGTGATGTGTCCCAGGCCCCATAGGTTAGATGAGAATAATGGCCAGGAGCGTATGTGGGAGCTTTAGGGCAGCGAGGCTGGAACTTCACCCACAGCCTCACAAAGAGGAAGCAGCGGGATGTCCTTTTTAAAAAGGATTTGTAGAGATGGGGGTCTCACAGTATTGCTGTATTAGTGCATTCTCACATTGCTATAAAGAACTACCTGAGACTGGGTAATTGATAAAGAGGGTTGATTTATAGCTCTGTAGGCCGTACAGGAAGCATGGCTAGGGAGGCCTCAGGAAACTTACAGTCATGGCAGAAGACAAAGGGGAAGGAAGCACGTCAGCTGGAGCAGGAGGAAGAGAGAGCAGGGGGAGACACTACACACTTTTAAACAAGCAGATCCCATGAGAACTCACAACAGCAAGTGGAAAATCTGCCCCCATGATCCAGTCACCTCCTACCATGCCCCTGCTCCAACCTGGGGATTACAGTTCAATCGTAAGATTTGGGCAGGGATACAAATCCAAATCAGTTGCCCAAGCTGATTGATTCTTAGAGTCCTGGCCTCAAGTGATCCTCCTGCCTCAGCCTCCCAAGTAGTTTGGATTATAGGGTGAGCCACTGCACCCAGCAAAGGTATGTTCTTGAGATTGTCTTTTTTTTGAGATTTATGCAAATTGTGCATTTGGAGTAATAGATCTGCTGGGATTACTATTTTCAAGAACATTAATTATGTGAACTTGACTCGTAGAATCCTTGGGTTAAACTGATGCTCCTGGAGGAGAGGCCCTATTTATCTATGCCTGGGGTCCCAATTGGAACCTCTCCAGTTTTTGCAGCCAAAGGTTCACATCCCAAGAACCCCCACTCCCAGGAAACTTGTCACGTTAGCCATGCTGCAGGAGTGCCCAGCTGGAAACTCGGTGTAAACAGGAAAGCCCCGCCCTATAAGGGGTTAAGCAGTGGGGTCCTTTTGCTGTTTCAGAACTCTAGTTGCTAAAGATATAAGGCATTAATTTGATTGTGTACAGTTGGCCTCCCCAGGGTGTGCTGCCATGCGACAGTACACACTGCTCGAAACCCCTGGGACTCCCACCGACTGATCCAAGCTGGCAGTTGGCATGAGTTAGCCAATTAAAGTACAAGACGCGCAGCTCAACTTGAATTTCACATAAAGAACTCAATGATGACCACGAGGAGAAATGCTGCAGAGCCTGGTTCTCTGAGGATACTGTACCAGCCCGGTTGAGGGGAGAAACGGCCATCTTGTTTCAGCAACTCCTCTTTTGGACTTGTCACTTGAAGCTGAGCTAATCCTGATAGAAGCGGTAAAAAAATAATTGGAGAACATACCGTGTTCTACAGTAAGATCCTGTCTGGAGAAGACTGACAGAAGCATGAAAACATCAAGCATGTGACGGTACAGTGAGCATCATGGCATGGGCAGTCAGGCTTTATTGCCCACACTTGCCCTAACTGGAAAAGAGCTGCTTTCCTTCAGTAGCACTGGACAGACTGCTCTGGGGTGCGGGGTGCTGTCTGAGTAGAGAGAGCAGCTCTGGAATGGGGTAGGAAACACCTCCATTGTGACTTTTTGCACATTGTATTTGCACAAATTAGTTACTCTCTGAAACAGTCTCAGAGGACCAGGTCATTTTTATAAAGCACTGTGGTCATTTAACATGGTAAGAGGTCGACTGAAATTTAGAATTTTAGGGGATTTTTCTACAACATGCATACTTGTGAAATTTGTTTGCACTGTTAAATTTCATTTGATTTGACAAATCCGTGTTAAGAGTATATGATGTCCAGGTACAGAGGCTGCACCAGGAACAAGACAGAAGTAGGCAGAGACCCTTGGCTCTCATGGGACATGCTTTAGAGGTGACAGGTAAGGGTGATACATATATTGTATGCTAATAAGTTCTACATCATGGTGCATTGGGTAGGTGTGGACGAGAAAAAGGTATGGGGTGAAGGCCAGGTGGTGATGGCCTAGGCCCCACTCAAGAGGCACCGTTTGAGCTAATACTGAAAGAGGCAGGGAGGGAGAGTCTGGGACTAGAGCCGCCAGAATAAAGTGCTTCCGGGGAGGGAAGAGCCCGGGACTGTGAACCAGGCCAGGGCACCTGGAGTGGAGTGAGGGTCTGGGAGAGCAGCGGGGGTGGGCAGAGGCAGAGCAAAGCACTGGACTTCAGCTTTTCTGAGTGAAATGGGCGGAGCAGGGTGTGAATGTGATCAGATTTCCTTCAAAGGGATCATCTGCAATGCTGGAAAAGAGGGGAAAAGCAGGAGACGTGTGAACAGGTTACTGCAACAAACAGGTGAGAAGTGCAAACTTTTGCAAAGGTGTGTGTGTGTATACATCCCTGACTGGACAGCCACGAAGCACTCACTGTGCTTTCCTCGCAAGTCAATAACGATGTGGGTTCAAATCACAGCCGGTCAATCGGGAAAGCACACCCATCCACAATAGCTATCACGGGAAAGGGGCTCGCTCCTTACAGGATCCTCAGCTGTGGAGAGGCCGGGAGCCCGCTCGGGGCGCGGGGGAGTCTTCTCGGCACCCCAGGGGCTCCGGCAGGGCCTGAGTCGCGCCCACCCTCCCGGTGGTGCCCTGGGGTCGAGGCTGCTCAGCAGAGCAGGCGGTCCCGAACCGGACTCTCCCCGCAGCTCGCTCCCTGGGAGTAGAAGGGACCCGAACTCCAGCGGAGCCGCACAGACGCGGAGGAAAAGCGCCAGGACTTCCAACCTTCGCACGTTTTCAAATCTGAAACCCGGCCGGCCCGGGGCGGTTGGAGCGTTCAGTGCGGACCCGCGCCAGCCCCGGACCGCCCCGCGACCATCTTCCCCACCTCCCGTCCCGTCCCCGCTGTCTCCCGGCCCCCCGTCCTCCTATCTCCCCGTCCCCGCCCTCCCCGCAGTCAGCACCCGTTCTCCTGCCCTTCGGCCGCACACACACTAGACCGGGCGCCGCCGTTCAGGAAGTTTCTACAAGACCAAGGCCCTGAGGCCCCTGGAAGTGCCGGGACCGGCACCAACCCGGCAGAGCGATTAATACCGGAGCAGGAGCCATGAAAGCCATGTTTCGCGGCCGCGGGTTGGAGATCGCGCACGCGCGCTAGGCGCCACGCCCCGGAAGAGATCCTGGTCCCGCGACGGCAACCCGGAAGCAGTCCCCGGCGTCGAGGCAGGAGGGACGCGCCCGGCTGAGGCGAGGTCGCTCTGCGCAGCTGTTGCGGGGCCATGGCCGGGACGGCGCTGAAGAGGCTGATGGCCGAGTACAAACGTGAGTTCGCGGAGCGGGCTGTCAGCAGCGTCCCGCGTTCCTGCTCCCGGGCCCGCGTAGTCCGGCGGGGCTGGGGTAGGGAGGCTGGCAGGGGAACCGGGCCCGGGCCTCCTCCGCGAGCCCCGCTGTGGGTCGGTGGCGGGTCCCGCGGGGCGTCGCGCTCTGTGCCGGCTGCCGCCCTCACGCGGGGAGTTGCGAAGCGAAGTCTTCCCAGCGTCAGTGCAGGCGGCGCCGGCGCCGTGTTAGTGAGAGCGCACGCGGTTGAGGCTCTGCGGGCTGCTTTTTGTCTTTTTTGTGTCTTTTCCTGGTAGCATTGAGAACGTGCGGTGAGAGCTTGGGGAAGGCCTGGATTGCGGCCGAGGAACTGGGGTGAAAGTGTGTGGGCGGAAAGGGGAGAGGTCGTTGGTGCAGCTGTAGGTGAAAGGTCAGATCTCGGCGCTCCCCCTCGTGAGGGTGAAAGGTCAGATCTCGGCGCTCCCCCTAGTGAGGGTGAAAGGTCAGGTCTCGGCTCCCCCTAGTGAGGGTGAAAGGTCAGGTCTCGGCTCCCCCTAGTGAGGGTGAAAGGTCAGGTCTCGGCTCCCCCTAGTGAGGGTGAAAGGTCAGGTCTCGGCTCCCCCTAGTGAGGGTGAAAGGTCAGGTCTCGGCTCTCCCCTAGTGAGGGTGAAAGGTCAGATCTCGGCTCCCCCTAGTGAGGGTGAAAGGTCAGGTCTCGGCTCCCCCTAGTGAGGGTGAAAGGTCAGGTCTCGGCTCCCCCTAGTGAGGGTGAAAGGTCAGATCTCGGCGCTCCCCCTAGTGAGGGTGAAAGGTCAGATCTCGGCGCTCCCCCTAGTGAGGGTGAAAGGTCAGATCTCGGCGCTCCCCCTAGTGAGGGTGAAAGGTCAGGTCTCGGCTCCCCCTAGTGAGGGTGAAAGGTCAGGTCTCGGCTCCCCCTAGTGAGGGTGAAAGGTCAGATCTCGGCTCCCCCTAGTGAGGGTGAAAGGTCAGATCTCGGCGCTCCCCCTCGTGAGGGTGAAAGGTCAGATCTCGGCGCTCCCCCTAGTGAGGGTGAAAGGTCAGGTCTCGGCTCCCCCTAGTGAGGGTGAAAGGTCAGGTCTCGGCTCCCCCTAGTGAGGGTGAAAGGTCAGGTCTCGGCTCCCCCTAGTGAGGGTGAAAGGTCAGATCTCGGCGCTCCCCCTAGTGAGGGTGAAAGGTCAGATCTCGGCTCCCCCTCGTGAGGGTGAAAGGTCAGGTCTCGGCTCCCCCTAGTGAGGGTGAAAGGTCAGGTCTCGGCTCCCCCTAGTGAGGGTGAAAGGTCAGATCTCGGCGCTCCCCCTAGTGAGGGTGAAAGGTCAGGTCTCGGCGCTCCCCCTAGTGAGGGTGAAAGGTCAGATCTCGGCTCCCCCTAGTGAGGGTGAAAGGTCAGGTCTCGGCTCCCCCTAGTGAGGGTGAAAGGTCAGATCCCGGCGCTCCCCCTAGTGAGGGTGAAAGGTCAGGTCTCGGCTCCCCCTAGTGAGGGTGAAAGGTCAGGTCTCGGCTCCCCCTAGTGAGGGTGAAAGGTCAGATCTCGGCGCTCCCCCTAGTGAGGGTGAAAGGTCAGATCTCGGCTCCCCCTAGTGAGGGTGAAAGGTCAGATCTCGGCTCCCCCTAGTGAGGGTGAAAGGTCAGATCTCGGCTCCCCCTGGTGAGGGTGAAAGGTCAGATCTCGGCTCCCCCTAGTGAGGGTGAAAGGTCAGGTCTCGGCTCCCCCTAGTGAGGGTGAAAGGTCAGGTCTCGGCTCCCCTAGTGAGGGTGAAAGGTCAGATCTCGGCGCTCCCCCTAGTGAGGGTGAAAGGTCAGGTCTCGGCTCCCCCTAGTGAGGGTGAAAGGTCAGGTCTCGGCTCTCCCCTAGTGAGGGTGAAAGGTCAGATCTCGGCGCTCCCCCTAGTGAGGGTGAAAGGTCAGGTCTCGGCTCCCCCTAGTGAGGGTGAAAGGTCAGATCTCGGCGCTCCCCCTCGTGAGGGTGAAAGGTCAGATCTCGGCTCCCCCTAGTGAGGGTGAAAGGTCAGATCTCGGCTCCCCCTAGTGAGGGTGAAAGGTCAGGTCTCGGCTCTCCCTAGTGAGGGTGAAAGGTCAGATCTCGGCGCTCCCCTAGTGAGGGTGAAAGGTCAGGTCTCGGCTCCCCCTAGTGAGGGTGAAAGGTCAGGTCTCGGCTCCCCCTAGTGAGGGTGAAAGGTCAGGTCTCGGCTCCCCCTATGAGGGTGAAAGGTCAGGTCTCGGCGCTCTCCCTAGTGAGGGTGAAAGGTCAGATCCGGCGCTCCCCTAGTGAGGGTGAAAGGTCAGGTCTCGGCTCCCCTAGTGAGGGTGAAAGGTCAGATCTCGGCTCCCCCTAGTGAGGGTGAAAGGTCAGGTCTCGGCTCCCCCTAGTGAGGGTGAAAGGTCAGATCTCGGCTCCCCCTAGTGAGGGTGAAAGGTCAGGTCTCGGCTCCCCCTCGTGAGGGTGAAAGGTCAGATCTCGGCTCCCCCTAGTGAGGGTGAAAGGTCAGGTCTCGGCTCCCCCTAGTGAGGGTGAAAGGTCAGGTCTCGGCTCCCCCTAGTGAGGGTGAAAGGTCAGATCTCGGCTCCCCCTAGTGAGGGTGAAAGGTCAGGTCTCGGCTCTCCCCTAGTGAGGGTGAAAGGTCAGATCTCGCGCTCCCCCTAGTGAGGGTGAAAGGTCAGGTCTCGCGCTCCCCCTAGTGAGGGTGAAAGGTCAGATCTCGGCGCTCCCCCTAGTGAGGGTGAAAGGTCAGATCTCGGCGCTCCCCCTAGTGAGGGTGAAAGGTCAGTCTCGGCGCTCCCCTAGTGAGGGTGAAGGTCAGGTCTCGGCTCCCCCTAGTGAGGGTGAAAGGTCAGGTCTCGGCTCCCCCTAGTGAGGGTGAAAGGTCAGGTCTCGGCTCCCCCTAGTGAGGGTGAAAGGTCAGATCTCGGCTCCCCCTAGTGAGGGTGAAAGGTCAGGTCTCGGCTCCCCCTAGTGAGGGTGAAAGGTCAGGTCTCGGCTCTCCCTAGTGAGGGTGAAAGGTCAGATCTCGGCGCTCCCCCTAGTGAGGGTGAAAGGTCAGGTCTCGGCTCCCCCTAGTGAGGGTGAAAGGTCAGATCTCGGCGCTCCCCCTCGTGAGGGTGAAAGGTCAGATCTCGGCTCCCCCTAGTGAGGGTGAAAGGTCAGATCTCGGCTCCCCCTAGTGAGGGTGAAAGGTCAGGTCTCGGCTCTCCCTAGTGAGGGTGAAAGGTCAGATCTCGGCGCTCCCCCTAGTGAGGGTGAAAGGTCAGGTCTCGGCTCCCCCTAGTGAGGGTGAAAGGTCAGGTCTCGGCTCCCCCTAGTGAGGGTGAAAGGTCAGGTCTCGGCTCCCCCTAGTGAGGGTGAAAGGTCAGATCTCGGCGCTCCCCCTAGTGAGGGTGAAAGGTCAGGTCTCGGCTCCCCCTAGTGAGGGTGAAAGGTCAGGTCTCGGCTCCCCCTAGTGAGGGTGAAAGGTCAGGTCTCGGCTCCCCCTAGTGAGGGTGAAAGGTCAGGTCTCGGCTCCCCCTAGTGAGGGTGAAAGGTCAGGTCTCGGCTCCCCCTAGTGAGGGTGAAAGGTCAGGTCTCGGCTCCCCCTAGTGAGGGTGAAAGGTCAGATCCCGGCGCTCCCCCTAGTGAGGGTGAAAGGTCAGATCTCGGCTCCCCCTAGTGAGGGTGAAAGGTCAGATCTCGGCTCCCCCTAGTGAGGGTGAAAGGTCAGGTCTCGGCTCCCCCTAGTGAGGGTGAAAGGTCAGGTCTCGGCTCTCCCTAGTGAGGGTGAAAGGTCAGATCTCGGCGCTCCCCCTAGTGAGGGTGAAAGGTCAGGTCTCGGCTCCCCCTAGTGAGGGTGAAAGGTCAGGTCTCGGCTCCCCCTAATGAGGGTGAAAGGTCAGGTCTCGGCTCCCCCTAGTGAGGGTGAAAGGTCAGATCTCGGCGCTCCCCCTAGTGAGGGTGAAAGGTCAGGTCTCGGCTCCCCCTAGTGAGGGTGAAAGGTCAGGTCTCGGCTCCCCCTAGTGAGGGTGAAAGGTCAGGTCTCGGCTCCCCCTAGTGAGGGTGAAAGGTCAGGTCTCGGCTCCCCCTAGTGAGGGTGAAAGGTCAGGTCTCGGCTCCCCCTAGTGAGGGTGAAAGGTCAGGTCTCGGCTCCCCCTAGTGAGGGTGAAAGGTCAGATCCCGGCGCTCCCCCTAGTGAGGGTGAAAGGTCAGATCTCGGCTCCCCCTAGTGAGGGTGAAAGGTCAGATCTCGGCGCTCTCCCTAGTGAGGGTGAAAGGTCAGGTCTCGGCTCCCCCTAGTGAGGGTGAAAGGTCAGATCTCGGCTCCCCCTAGTGAGGGTGAAAGGTCAGATCTCGGCTCCCCCTAGTGAGGGTGAAAGGTCAGATCTCGGCTCCCCCTAGTGAGGGTGAAAGGTCAGATCTCGGCTCCCCCTAGTGAGGGTGAAAGGTCGGATCTCGGCTCCCCCTAGTGAGGGTGAAAGGTCAGATCTCGGCTCCCCCTAGTGAGGGTGAAAGGTCAGATCTCGGCTCCCCCTGGTGAGGGTGAAAGGTCAGGTCTCGGCTCCCCCTGGTGAGGGTGAAAGGTCAGATCTCGGCGCTCCCCCTGGTGAGGGTGAAAGGTCAGATCTCGGCTCTCCCCCTAGTGAGGGTGAAAGGTCAGGTCTCGGCTCCCCCTGGTGAGGGTGAAAGGTCAGATCTCGGCGCTCCCCCTAGTGAGGGTGAAAGGTCAGATCCCGGCTCTCCCCCTAGTGAGGGTGAAAGGTCAGATCTCGGCTCCCCCTAGTGAGGGTGAAAGGTCAGATCTCGGCTCCCCCTAGTGGGGGTGAAAGGTCGGATCTCGGCTCCCCCTAGTGAGGGTGAAAGGTCAGATCTCGGCTCCCCCTCGTGAGGGTGAAAGGTCAGGTCTCGGCTCCCCCTAGTGAGGGTGAAAGGTCAGGTCTCGGCTCCCCCTAGTGAGGGTGAAAGGTCAGGTCTCGGCTCCCCCTAGTGAGGGTGAAAGGTCAGATCTCGGCGCTCCCCCTAG